CTTATTGTGTTTGATTATTCCCACCTGGCTTCTCCTGCAGCAGACCACAGCTAAACAAACTTTCCTATGGCTTGTTTATTATTGCATGCATGTAGGGAGCTCTGGCTTGACTGATGAGAGACCAGCAAGACTTCCCAGTCCACACCTATCAATAAACAAATGAGCAATATGTATCTTCCCATATAAGCCTGCCTGAGCTCTAAGATGTTCACTGAGGCACTGGATGCCACCACCTGCACGCACGCGTTTGGTGGTAATGTGATTGAAGCCTTCTCCATGGCTGCTCCCAGACTCTGGAACTCTCTTCATAGAGAGGTTGGGATTTGCTGTCTTTTTGACAGCAGGGGAACAGCTTTTGATGCCAGCATGCTTTGGGGAATTGATTGTTTTGCAAGAAAGACTTTTTATGGTGGTGTACTGCCATTATCTTTTGATTTAGAGTGCCATATAAACTATAATTTGACTTCATATATAAGTCAACTGCAGTTTTGGGGCCAAAATTATGGATTTTGATGTGACACATGGATAAGTTGAGGGTAAAACTTAGGGCTGTGTAACAAAGAATGTAAAGGATGAAGCAAAAGAAAATGATGCCAAAGAACTCACAAAATTCTGGTAGGTTTAAATGTTTGTGCTCACCCTAAAGGCTGGCTGGATGTTTACATTAGATGTCTGTGCAATGTGTGGGAGAGGCGACCAGGGATAGGAAGGCTAAACACATGTCAAAAAAGGATAAAAAGATAAAGCAAAGAAAATGGCAACTATATTAGCAGTGATGTGATAATTTCAACTTTTATGTGATAACTTTGCCTGATTTTAACCCAGAAAAACTGACAAACATACACAAATGTGTTATTAAAATTCTTCAGAGCCTAATTCCTCTGCCCCTTTGAAGGAAGCACTAAAGAGCTGCCACCACTGCCATTTTCCCACCAAGACATTCAAAAAGGTCAGAAGTGATGCCACAGCAGATAATAGAGGAGATGGTTTTGTAAAGTAGTCCCAGAACGGACTATGCTCTTGCCTTTCACCACTCAGAGAAGGGGATGATTCCTTTTTTGATAAACATTAGACCTGATAAGTCAACCTATTGACCCAGACTTTTAGGGTCAATTTTTTTTTGCTAAAAATGTTAGATTTATACATTATATACAGTATATTTTAAATTGTTTTTGTTTTGTTGTTAGCTTAATACTATTTTGATCTAAACATTTAATATGCTGTTAAACATATGTGTTTTATTGCATTCCACTCTGTTTTATAAGGTGCTTTAAGTCCTAGAGAGCCAGTATGGTGTAGTGGTTTGAGTGCTGGACTATAACTCCGGAGAGCAGGGTCGACTCCCAGCTTGGCCTTGTAAACCCACTGGGTGATCTTGGGCAAGTCACACACTTTCAGATTCAGAGGAAGGCAAAAGAAAAATGCCTCTGAACAAATCTTGTGAAGAAAACCCCATGATAGATTTGCCTTAAGATTGCTGTCAGTCAGAAATGACTTGAAAGCACACATCATCAACAAGAGCAACAACTTGAGTTCCCATTTGAGAAATAGCTGTAGTATAAATAAAATGGATATCACCATAATTCAAGTATACGCAGCAACCACAGAAGCAGAACAGGAAGAAATTGACAGATTCTATGAAGTTGAGGAAAAAATTGACAGCACACCATCACAGGACGTACAGGTGATCATAGGCAGCTGGAACGCAAAAGTCAGAAGCAAAGAAGAATAAAAAGCAGTAGGCAGATTTGGATTAGGCAAAAGAAATGTAGCAGGTGAGCATCTGATAAGATTTTTGTGAAGCCAACAACCTGTTCATTGCAAAAACATTTTTTATGCAACCAGAAAGAAGATTACATACACGGACATCACCAGATGGCCACACAAATACCAAATAGATAATATAATCGGAAGTAAAAGATGGCAAAGCTCCATACTAGTAGCCAAGACTAGATCAGGTGCTAACTGCGGCACAGACCACAAATTACTCATATCGAAAATAAGAGTAAAACTCAAGAAGAAAACAAAAACAGCTATCATACCAAAATGTGATCTAAACAATATCTCGACATAATATATTGACAACGTAAGGAACAGATTTGTGCTACTAAGCATAATAGATCGAGAACCTGATGAACTATGGTCTGAAACCAAAGACATAATAAAAGAAGAATGCAGATAGACACTTTTGGTAGACAGAAAGTGAGGAAACCATGGAAAACACACAGTAAAGGAAAGAATAGAAACAAAAAAAGGAGATAGGAACATACTAAGAACCATGAATGCAACAGTATAATGGCTAGCGCGTAAAGATAAAGAAAACTACAACAATCAGTGCAGAAAAATAGAAGATAACAAGAAAAAGGGAAGAACATGAGATCTATTCCAAAAGATCTAGGAAGTCAAAGGAAAATCCAAACCAAGGACTGGGGCACTATATGACAATAAAAATAACAATTCAAGACCAGGAAAGAATAAAAAGATGTTAGATGCAATACACAGAAGAGCTATTTAAAAAAGGTGGCAAAATGAAAGATATATGGAATGAAGAGCCATATGAAGATGAACACCAAATTCTAAAAAGTGAGATGGAAGCTGCAATAAGAGAAATGGTGAAAAACAAATCGCCAGGAACAGATGATATTCCAATCGAACTGCT